AATATTTTTAGATTGTAAGAATTTTTTGGAGATAAAGATTTTGGTTAATTTGCAGTTTGGCATCCGTGCTCAGTTCGCATTAAAAATATCCAGTATACTTATATTTAGGTGCAACTGTATATGCTTCATTTGAATCTGGCTTGATAAATTTGATAAAGTCTACCATTTTGGAGTTATTGACAATAAAAGTTTGGATTCATTTGTGTCATTGGCAGAAGCCATTATTGACATTGTTTGCATACATTTGCTGGGGAAATTTAAATGTGGAAGAATGGAGTTAACAGGCTTTTTTTACTGATCTTACTTGTCTCAATTATTACACAAGAGAACTATTTATATATACATGCTCGATTGTGCACTGCATGTGCAATAATTAAGATTGTGAATATTACACATAGCTGTTCCGCAGCAAATGTATGTAAATAATGCCAGTAATGAATATTACACATAGCTGTTCCGCAGCAAATGTATGTAAATAATGCCAGTAATGACTGCCATGACATGAATGAATCCAAACTTTTACTGTCAAAATATCAAAATGTAGATTTTATCAAAATTTATCAAACCAGATTTGAATGAAACATGTACAATTTCACATGAATGTAAGTGTTATGGAAATTTTTATGCAAAATGAGTGCGGGTGCTAAACTGCAAATTAACCAAGATTTTTTGTGCCTTCATTAACAAAAGACATAAAAGCAACCAAATTACAACCTTCAAGTAAACATCATAAGGAGAAATAAAAGTTGGAAGAAGTCATTGAAAAAAACTGATTCATTAATAGTAGTTTTAGTGATGAATGTAGAGCTACATTGGATGAACCTAGGTTAGAGTTGGATCCATCATAAAAATAATCAACCACATTGATTAACTGTGTCATGCCAGACAATTTTTCACACCAGAATCCATTCTGCATATTTGTAAATTTACCATTTGTCTGCCATATGTCTGATATTCCTGCAGCATATCTTGAGATTCCCAACAAAATCCAAAGAAGGATCTGTAACATTATCAGTCATAACCTGGTATCTCAACTTCAATTATTTTCCCACCACTGGCACATGGCTTCCCTGTGCCTTTTCTATAATGGCAATTGTTCTAATGAGCTTTCCTTCTTAGTACCTTGACTGCATGTATTGAAGTCTACTACTAGATTGGAAACTAGGTCTCATAATTTTATTGTTGAAGTAGATATAACTCTAAGTTCTATACGAATAATTTTCTTTCTTGCACTTCTTGCCTGTGGAACTGTCTTTAGGTTTATTTCCTGCCACCTACAATCTTCAAAAATTTAAATACAATGTCAATTGCTATCTTCTGTCTTTCTGAAGATTATTCTTTTATAGTCCTTTTTCCTCACTAATGTCTTCTCATTTTCTTTCACTCTTGGCAACCTCTTGGATCTTAGTGGCATTATCGCCTTACTTGGGGTGAAATGATTAAAAAAATTGTTTGCAGTTAGATCGTAGGTTGCTTCAAAGTTGAAGATGGCATCAAGATAAATGTTGAGAATTATTGTGAATTCTTCGATAAGATATTTTTTTCAGTTAATAACAATTTTCAAAACTATGTCATTAAAAGTCAAATAAAAATGCTGTAAGAGTTCTTGGATTGCAAAGAAAATATTTGTTGCGGATTACTTCCACAACAAAGAGAACAAATCGCAAGTTCAAACTCGAATATCAGAAGCAGAAAGAGATGTTGAAATCTCGATTCGCAGGTACTATGCCACAAATCCCAATGCATGTAACCAGTCAGAAAAATGACTCACTCACTGATGAACACGGTAGCCAAATACATGAATTTTGTCTTTTCCACGCCGATTCTGGAACACTAACTGATTTTATCGACCGAGTATTTTTTTCATTCATCAACAACTGGGAGGGGATGCCCATATCAAAAGGGCAGGAAATTGTGAAGTGTCATGATTGCCTATGTTCTAAAGAGTCATGATACATAGAAAAAGAAGTATTAATATTAGGACAGTTTGGCTATCATTGATTCAGTAGCCAGGAATCCATTACAACACCTGCACACACAAGCTTACAGAACCTGGTATTCACAAGTGGTCACTCATCTAGATACTAGCCAGGCTCGATGTTGCTTAACTTTTGCAATCATACATAAACTTGTGTTTCAATATGATGTAGCTGTAAGCCTAAAAGAATTAAATTTTTTAGATATAACACTAAACTACATAATAATCAAGACAGTTGTAGTCTGGGGAGTTAGTTGGCCAGATGTAAGGGGTGATGTGGTTGCAGAAATTGTCTGACAGACATGACTGGGTTTTCCTGCTTGTGTGGCATGGTGCAGAGTCCTGTTGTCAGACATATGGTCTTCTAGCAGCCACCCTCTTGACTACCTCCTCAAGGCACATGATGTAGGCCTTTCTGTTGAGTCTGGTGCCCTTACCAACAAATTTGGGAGTTCGTTTCTTATCAGAATGTTCAGAGTAAGTCTCCTGAGCTGCCATACTGTCATAATCACCATTAGACTCCTCTAACTCTTTCTGAATCCTCCACACTGTCCTTAGATTGACACCCAAACACTCTGAAATGTTCATATTAAAGCTTCTGGTGTGAATGCCAAGCAGTACAGGATGCCGTTTCCAAATTTCTGGCAGAGTGAATTGCATCATGGTGATCTTTTTCTCACATACGTGCCCAACTGATCATACGATATTGTGGAGTTGACAAAATCAAAAACAAACAATGTGCAAACAGAAAATTAAAAATATAAAATGGTGACAATTTACCTATCATGACCTGTATGTATAGGAGATTCATTTTGATATTTTATGATTTCTATTTAAACGAATCTCATATATATATATATATATATATATATCAAATCTGTAAGTGGTAAGGATAATCCAAGTAGTTTTTTTAATATAGAATATCAAAGAATAGATCCATTCAATGTATTTATATAAAAAGTAATATGATATATATCAAGAAGGAAAAAAACTTAACACATCATCGAAGAACTTGGTAATAAATTTATTTCAATAATGTAAATCGACAGAAAGATTTTTCTAGGTCAAGTAATTTAGATATTTATTTCCTTTTCTCTCATGATTTAATTTTAAAATAATTTTTAATAAATTGTCTGGAATTAATTTAAATCATATGAAAGAGATTGAAAGTACTTGGGTTAACAAGAACTATAATGCCATCCTCAATGAACTTAACATCAAGAAGATAATTAGAGAACTCAAGCAGTTTATTATTAAAAAATAAATAAACATAATATGTCTATAGTATTTAATGAAATATGTTTGAATGAAGATATGTTGCTTTAATATATATGCATATATATATATATATATATATATATATATATATATATATATATATATATATATATATATTTGTTTTCTTTTTATATAATTTAAATACAATATATATATATTTATATATATATATATATATATATATATTTTGTGCATTTAGGCAGCAAATTCTTTTAGGCATGTATGATTGAATAAATTACAAACACTATGTCTGCTAATTTTTAACAAAATCCATTCATACTAATGAATAACCTTCCAGAAGGTTATTTTTGGGAGTATGAACTGATTTTGTTAAAAATTAGCAGACATAATGTCTGTAATTTATTCAATTATATATATATATATATATATATATATATATATATATATATATATATAAGATTTGTTTTTTTTTTATCTGATTTAAATACAAATTGTATATTAAATTGAATTGTCTATATATATATTTATATATATATACGTGTGTGTGTGTGTGTGTGTGTGTATATATATATATATATATATATATATATATATATATATATATATACACACAATGGAATTTTTAAATAACTATCATTGTTTATTACTATGAGAACATACACAGTGTTGGACACTATGTGACTTTCAAACTGATTATAATAGTAAGATCAGCTTGTTAACCACAATTATGCTCCAACCGCAACATATAATGACAAAAAAAAACATTGTTTAGGACGAGGATTTTATATGCAGCTTTGAGATTATCCCCCTCCTCCCCCAATCCAAACAGCCCATGACCCAAGAGTATGTTTGTGTGCCATGCACTTCATGGTATTTCTCTGGTCAGTAGGAATCACTTAGCAGCACCCATCTCCCCTCTAAACAACATGTGACAGGTTGTACTGGGTTGCTTTGTACCAGCACCTAGATGTAATTCTTGATCAGTACTATTCAGGGCAATTATAATGGAATGGTTTCACATTGTCTTTTTTATGTTTTCAAATTTAGAGTTTTCCTTCTTCTAAGATGGTTGTCATTAAAGGCTAGAAAGTCATGTCTGCCATCCTATTTAAGCCATAGTTGAGTGTAAAAAAAGGATAGTTTCATGCCAAAGGTTTGAGTGTGAAAGTGAATGCAACAGACTAGGCTGAAATTTGAACTTATCTTGTTGATTCCACTTTCTGTGCCATTAACCATTATGCTACTCACATAGACTTCCCAGATATGGGTTAAATAGTAGGCCAGACTGGGCCCTCTAGCTATGGATGGAAACCTGTCTAAGAGAAGGAAAGATTTGAATTCAAAACTGTGGAGAAAGCAATGGGAAACTATGCCACTATCTTTCTCAATAAGTCATTGAAATTTACAGATATTAAAAAAGGAAGCTATGGAGAGCCATGATTGCTTACATTTACATTTAAAAAATCCTCTCTCACCAACTCACGTGCAAAAAAAATAAGTTTACTTATATTCTATTGGCCTTGCGCCAGGTTAGTTAAGCTGAGCAAATTCCGAGAAAAAAAAAAAGAAGTTATCTTGAGGCAGTGAACCCTTCCGCTCACACCTGTCGCTTACCTGTCCTTGGTGAGCGAGACAACGAACGTCGACAGCGCCCTCTACCGATTGGTCAGCCATCACACCTGTGAGTTAAGTTGACGACCTGTTTTTAAGTCGTATATATATATTTTTTTTTCTGGTTGCTTGAAGGTCGGAATTTGAAGATAAAATTTAAAAAGTAACAATGATGCGGATAAAGTTCGCGTGGAGCCATTTTGTGTCGATTTTAATCGTCTTTTTTGCAAGTGAGTATTAATTTAAAAAAACAAGTCGACTCTTAAATCCAAAAAAAGCTACCTGAAACAGGTGCGACATTTGTTTTTTAAACGTTTGGTTATTTTTAGCTCTTTGTTTCATTCCTCTACGATCCCTATTCTTGAAAGGTGTTTAGTCTATTTCTTCTTTTTTTTAAGGCTTTATTTTTTTTTTTTTAAATATTTCTTTCTTTTTAGTGTTGTGTTGGATGTAATAAATATTAAATAAAAATACGTTGTTGTTGTGGTACCACCTAGTTTCTTTTCTTTCCGGTCGAGGGTCTTTTTAAATAAAATTTCGTATCTTTTGTCAAAGCTTTACTCGAATAAATATTAATGTTAATGAATTTATCCTAGCAACGTTTCAAGTATAAATTTCCACTCGTTCCCCAAATAATAGAGTAATAACTTATATTTTATTTTGCTTATTAGGATCCTCGCGTTAAAAATCCCGGAAGTCAAAGTTGTAATCATTTTTCTTGCATTTTCCCCCTTTTTTCCACCTCTACTTATCAGTCTCTAAAACGATTTTAAAGAATTATCGACAGAAAAATTGTCCTTCAGTTTTTAATTCGACTCTACCTGTTAAACAATTTCTAATTTAAATTACTTTTTTAAAGTTCAACTAATTTTTAACATAAAAAAAAATCAAATTGATTGAGAGTTATCTTTTCATTATTGGATGGTGCTCCAGAAAGTTATTAAAATTTGACAAAAATTAATGCTCACGTACATTGAATCTGTGTAAAATTAATTTCAAGTCCTACCGAAAAGTTTGGGAAATTTTAAAGTATATAAAAATGTCTTAAAAACAACAAAAAATTATAATAATTATATAAAATTAGATTTCGTTTTCTGTAATAATAGTTTCAATTCAAGAGATGTGAAATCTATGACACATCAAACATGGCTATGCTTACAGGAGAAAAGATAAATAAATATTGAGTCAATTATGTGCCATGCGTGATACACGCTTAGGCGATCATGTATCTTTTGATACATGATTGACGAGGGAGACATTTTTCCTGCAGTAGGTTGTCATTTCTTTCTGTGGTAGACCAGTTGCCATCTAAGGCTATAGAACTTGGTCTGTCCTGCTATTTACCCATAGCTGGGGGAGAAGAGGATTCATACCTTTTCCTAGGTTATTAGTATGTAAGCGAATGTAATGGATTCAACTGGAATTTGAACTCGGCTCTCCGATTCCTCGATCTGAGCCACTATCCATTACTCCTCTGTGCCTAGTGAGTTCAATCCTCACTGAATGCTCCATAATTTCAACCACATGTCACATCTAAGATAGTAAATTGTTATAAAAAAATAATGTCACTGAATCTTAAGGCTTCTTTTGTCACTTGTACTATGTGACAAAAATTCCTATCATGATGTCAAATGAGAAGACAAGATTAAACATTTGCAAGAAGAATTCTTTCTTTCTGCTACAATTATTCAAGAGTCTTGGGGAATCTGGGTTCTGTTAATTATGGAGTGAACATATTGAAATAGGGAACTGATTTTTTGTGTTTTGTATATAAGATATGATGAAGGCCAAAGAGCAGAATATCTGAAACATTGTGATAGCAACAACAAAGATGAGGATAATAGTCTGCATGTAAATAATGATAACACCTCATCCCAGAAATTAAAACTGAAAAGTTTTGTTCAATATTTTGTTTTGTTAATTTTTTATGAAAAATGCATAAATTTTTATCTGTTTCTAGCTGACCTCATGTTAAATGACTTTTTTATGTACGTGGCAAAATAAAAATTAATTTCTCATTGAAACATGGTTCATGCATCATGCACATCTGAGAGTTGCATAATCTCTGGCATAATGAAGCTGTGATAATTCAAGTGTATGTTTTTTGTATGAAAACGAGGAAGATGACATGAATTAATGAAACTGATTTTATCAGCATTTTATAAAATGTTCAGTATGGTCTTCTAAATTCTCAAAACACTTGTCTGAAATAAAATATTAGAATGGGTTCAGTCAGGATAATTGAAAAATGTTCAGATGATTTCAATATTTCTTTTCATTTCACCTTTTTGTTAATTAAAGATGTACTATATTTAATTTTTATTATTGGGTCCATTCATTCCTCCATCTTAGCCTCTTAAAAGAACAATTACATTATCAAAGCAAACATCATTGTGAATAGACCAATTCTATACTTTTCCAATTCTGATCATGTTCAAGAAAAGTTAAAGCACCTGCAAGGCCAACAAAAAAGATATGACAAAACAGCACTTTATCTACCACTATTGGTATGTACTAGTTGGTCTAATGGCTGTTAGTTTGGAATAAGAGATTGGAGAGTAAAGTTCAATTTCCAGTTGTTTTTTTTAATTATTTCATCCTAAGCAAAGCAATAAAGCCACAAGGGGTTACTGAGTGTGAAAGAGTAAGAAAAAGAAATAATTTAAGGAACAAGTACAATAAAAGAGAGTTCCAGAAGACAGTAGATACAGATTGACATTGTATTTAATTTTTTGAAGAACAAAGTTGGCTGGAAAACAAGAATCTGAAAAAGAGTTCCATGATCAGGAAGTGCAATAGAAGAAACTGTTAACATAGAACTTACATCTAGCTAATTCAACTGTAAATTGATGAGGTCACTCTAGTACTGAACTTAAATTCATAAAGTTTAGGTAGCAAAGAGGAAAGTTCATTAGAACAATTTCCATAAAAGTATTTATAGAAAAGATACAGGGAAATTACATTATGACAGTGGGAAAGAGATTGAAGCCAAGATGCCAGGTTAGTGCCAATAACATTGCGAAAATGTCTTGGATAAGGTATGAATTCATCTACTCTTCCTAGCTATTGGTTATATAGTAGGACTTGTATTTGGGAAAATCAATGTTATTCTCAAAAATGTGTTCATGTGATATTCACTTACAAAAAAGAATTATTCTTACTATCTAAAATATGTTTTGCTTTTAAGTAACCCACAAAAGATTGATAAGACATAAAGAACAAATTGGTTCACGACTACTGTTGGTACCTGGATGATCTGTGTGAGCATGGGACTAAAAACAGACACTAGCAAGATACATGAATACAAAAATCTTTAAAAAAAATTAAAAGAAAATGGTTAAATACATAACCTCATGTTAATCAAAATATATAATGCATAATTTAACCTCAAACTAAAATAATTTAAATACTAATTTGCCAAAAAAATAATTTCAAGAACATCACTCACTTTTGTTTATTAAACATTGAATTGTGTCACTTTGTGTTCTCTATAGTTTTCCTGAGGTTTGAGCTAAACTGATGAATATTTATAAGTGTTTCTTATCTTAAAAATTTTGAAAAACCAATAACATTTTTGTTCTTGTATATAAACACTTGTTACAAAAATAAAATCTTTGCATTTGCCTTGATAAAGTCCTCAGAGTTTTCCTTTTTTTTTTATTTATATTGTCCTTTTACAGATAGAGCATATTTGAAATTATATATATATATATATATATATATATATATATATATATATATATATATATATATATATATATATATATAATGTGTGTGTGTGTTCTGTTTCACACAAATTCCCCTGAAAAAGACATGAATCTGTTTTTCTTCCCTCCCCTGCTATGGGTTAAATAAGATTGCAAATTGGGTTTTGTAACATATAGGTGATCATGAGTGTAGTAGAAAGACTGAATTTAAAATCACCCTGAAAAAAAGGATGGCTTCCATCAGGCTATCTTGTCCTTAGACTATTTTGATCACGAAGTAAGGAAGTATTTGCATTTTTATTGTGATACCAAATTTTCTGAGTAATTCAAAGAATTCTCAAAGGAAATTGGCTTTGAATAATGGTGTAGTACAGAAAGCATTAAACTGTCTGAACATTTCTTAGTTTTAATTAATTGATCATAGGTATATCATTTTCTTTATCAGATCTTTTTTTTTTTTTTTTTTTTTTGTATCAATCAGGTCTTTCTTTTACTACCTTTAAAATTAATCCCAATTCTGCTTCTCTAAACAGGTGAGTCTTGGAGATAGCATACCTGTTATTTTTTAAATCATATCATTCTTCATGGAAAATCAAAATATTTCATCCATCTTTCATATCCATCCTCTTCTGTGACAGTATATGCTGTACAATCTTCCCATGGATGAAGAGATAACTTGAACTACTTTTGCTAAGTAGAAAAACTTTTAAGCGCCACAAGGAATAGGAAGTTTTGGAGAGCCATGATTGCACATAGAAGAGGATGGAACCTCTCAAATCCTGTTCTACTCTGTGATAACTGTGGCCCAACTTGATCATCTACCTGTCCGTTCATATGCAGTCATGGACAGAGTTATTCACCCCACTTACATAATTATAAATAAAGCTGTAATACCTCAAATTTTTGTGGAAACATCATGTACATTTTTTTCACAAATGATGGAATAATGGATTCCAAAGAATGTGCAGTGATGACAACAACAGAATTATTATTTTAATGTCAAACAATAATACAATAAAAACACCAAAAACATTTAACATAGGACAAAATTATTGGCCCTCAATAATCAATTGTGTAGCCTTTATTCTTGCCTTTAATCATTTTTAATAGTTCCTTACAAGATTACTACACATACCAATAGGTAATTTGCACCATTTTTCTTGGGAATAGCTTCTAGTTTCTCCAAATTTGAAGGACTTCTTTCTCTTACTTTTTTCTTCAAATATGCCCATAAATTTTCTGTGGGCTTTAGGTCAGGACTTTGTGTGGGGTATGCCAATACCTTAGTTTTAATGTCCTCTAAGTATTTTGTAACAATTTGTGCTATTGTCATGTTGAAATGTCCAGTGACACTCCAAAGGCAGCTTTTGTGCACTTTGTTTTATATTATTTTTAAGACTAGCCAAATACTGCTCCTTATCCATGATATCCTGTAATCTCACTAGTTCTCTTGGTCCAGAAGCAGCAAAACATCCCCCAGAACAGAATGCTCCCACCACCGTGCTTCATTGTAGGGAGGGTAT